GTTTTGTTTTATTCTTGGATCGGGCTTTAAAGGGTTAAAGAAATGTTTACAGTTTTCTGGGAGTTTATTCCAGATTAGTTGAGCATAAAAATTAAACGCTGCTTCACCTTGTTTGGTTCTGGTTCTTGGTAGGCAAAATAAAATGGAAACTAAAGATGTGTGTGTTTGATACACTGATAAATGATTTTTGAGTGAAGGCTTGCAGTGATTAATAGATTTATAGAGGTGGTTTAATATTATAGGGTTTCACTCTCAGCCCAACTACACTTTCATTCCTGGATTCTCAACCAGAACAAATCAGACTTTCTTTATCTGTATTATTTGCTTTAAAAGAAAAAAAAAATAATTAAAATATATTTTCTACAATATTTATTAGGTGAGATCCACTTTTTTTCTACATTGGTTTCAGTTAACCCTTTTAAGAATTTTCAAATGTGAATAATTGACTTTTAGACATGAAATGTTAATTTCTGGGTTAAATTGATTATCAGAATGTTATTCCTATAAATTGTTGATAAAGATACATCTAAAGAGAAGGAAAATAAAAAAAAAAAGATTCTATCTATTGCAGTAAGTGAGCCGCACACATTATTTACTGTTAAGATGTAGAGTCAAATATTTCCAAACCTTTTTTTTTATTTTTATTTTTATTTTTTCAATTTTATGATTGCAGATAAAAAAAAAAGGTATTCCGTTTCTCGAAAAAATTTATTATTTTAGAAAGAAGCTGTCCTTCAGCAGAATTGACAGGCTTATGAAAGGTTTATTTTATTAATGTCTTAACGCTGTTTGGCATAGATTAGTTTTTTGTTTTTGTTAAAAAGTTTTTTTGTTGGTTAGTATTTAACAAATAAGGAACTTGTTTGTGTTTTAAATTAACTCAGAAATGAACTTTTAGAGGAAATTCAACCTTTTTTTAATCATTGTTTAACTGAAGCTTAAACCTTCTAAGGTTAATAGAAATGTTCTCCGTTAGCAGATCCATTGATTGGATGATATATTCCTGTGTTCAGGCCACCTCATTTCTAACGGAGCCTTTCCTCTGTCCCGCAGAGCCCATAGTGAGGAACGGCCGCCCTGCTTCGGCCCACAGCGTCCACTCTTTCCTCCATCAGTACTCGGGCTCATTTAAGAAGCCGCCGATGCGACGGCCTCAGAGTGTCATCGGGGGAGGCCTGGGTTTGGTCATGCCTCGCAACGGCAGCCGCCTTGGTGAGACACTCAATGTTTTCATCAAACCTTGCTTAGGAGGAATCAAAACAAGCCTACAAATATGTTTCTTTCGCTTCTGTTTAAAGTGAATTTAGTTACAAATAGATTAAAATCTGATTCTCTATATAAAATCCCCTGGAAGTGCTTAGAAAACATTTCAGCTGTGTCTAATGGGCCCCAGCATGCTGATTTGTGAACGCATGCGTGAACACACATGACAGAGACTTCAACAAGGCCTGTTTTTATGTGAAATACTGTATTTATCTCTAATAAACATAACTAGAGATAAACTAAATGGTTCAAAGCAAACCAGGAATTCAGGCTGATTAAAAACCCCAAAGGGATAAAAAGTGTGCTGTTTTCTGAATGTGGTCAGGCATGAAGAAAATTATATTTAATGCCTTGTTTATTTTTGTTTTTTTTCTTGTTAGGCTCTATCATCAGTGACTTAGATGAAATCTGACAGATTATTAAATCTTATTTACTTATTTTTTCCTCTTCCACATACAGACAGGAGGCTAGATAGAATAAAACAGAAAATAAAACTATATTGCACATATAAATGTCACATTAGGTTTAAATATAAAACCATTTAATGACAATAGTAGAATTTTGTAACATAAGAAAAAAGAAAATGTCGAATTGTTGGTTAATAAGAATAGCAAGATCTATTGTAAAAGGTGTGCAAAAAAAACACACTAAAGCCGGGCATAGACTGTGATATATTTTCAATCTTTGCACGTGGCTACAGGTCACGCTGTACTACGAAAACGTTTAAAAGTTTACAGCTCACGATGTATGTTCACTAGAGTGAAATTTGTACCATAAAAAGAAAAGGCAATGACGTATTTGGTCAAAGACATGGCTGAGTAAACGTGGCTACTACGGTCTGTCAATTTTACTTCGTTTCAGTGGCACCCCCGCCATGCTTCTGTGTTTTCGTCTAAGAGGGAGAAGAAGAATCCACGTTTGCCCACTGATCAATTTGCCGACAGCCGACTGAATTTCAAACATGTTTGATTTTCTCCCGAACTCACGATTCCTGATCGGAAGGTGGCCGTGAGAGGCTGATCGCCCCTCGTTACCCCCTGTACACTACACCACGCACGATCAGGCTGAAAGCAAAGCAAGACTGGAAAATAGGCGCGAAAACAGTTAAATAAATCATACAGTGTATGCCCGACTTAACCAACTATTGTCCAAGAACAGCAGATCCTTCCTTCCAGCAGCTCTTAGACTGCTGGAAGGAAGGATCTGCAGTGACGTTCCTTTGTGCACGTAGGGTACGCAAACATTCTTCAGCGATAGTTTACAATCAGTTTCAACAATAAGTAGAAATTTATTCCAAATGAATTAGAAATTGAACCCTTTTGTAAAAAAAATAAAAATAAAATAAAAATAAAATAAAAATTTTCTCTGAATGGCTTTGCTTATGCTTTTGAGCCCATTCGCCATGTTGATGATGGTAAGACAAAATCTCATGATTTCAGTTCATTTCATTTCCACTTTAAAGATTTATCCAGACTAGTTTTCAGTTTTTTTCTAGCTTGCATAGCTCTAATTATCTGAATTACGCTTTTTTTTACAGTGCACAATATTTATTTCTTGCAGAGTTTCTGAACGCCCTTCTCTGTTAAATTATCTTTAGATAGCGACCTGACTCAGCACATAAGGTTAAAAACAAATTGGTTAACCTGCATCCTGCTTTTTACAAGATCTCTGCTGAGATAGGAAGCTAACTTGGGTGATAAATCACATCAGATTCTTTTAAAAAGAGACTTTAATGCAGGTTAAACGTCTTCTCTTCTGACTGGGAGCAGTTTTAAGGCTTTTGGACCCATCCAGCCAGATTTCTGGCTTGAATCAGTGAAGGGAGCTAAAAGTTAGGAGGCAATAAGGGGATTTAAATGAAAGGTAATCAAAACCAAAACTGATTATTTTAAGAACTGCTTTTGTCTAACTTTTAAGAGACGTCTGTATGGTTTTCTGTTGGAAATAAACTTAGTGGAATTTAAATGGTTTTAAACCCAAATCTCTCAGGGTCATTGATATTAGAAGCTGATCTGTTGCTTTTTAGTGATTTGATATTAAAGTAATAATAATAAAATTGAACTTTGTTGACTGCA